CATGCAGCACCATCTCCGTCACCACAGCACCAAACATACCAGTCTCCGATCTATGCATCACCTTCTCCGTCACCACAGCACCAAACATACCAATCTCCGATCCATGCATCACCATCTCCGTCACCACAGCACCAAACATACCAGTCTCCAATCCATGCAACACCATCTCCGTCACCACAGCACCAATCATACCAATCTCCGATCCATGCATCACCATCTCCGTCACTCACTCAGGCTACTCAGCGACGCACAGCCTCACAAATTATTATATCGGAGAATGGTGAAATATCATTTACATAAAGGAGTTTTTTAATTATTGAAGATTCTTTTTTTTAAATTCTATTCTTGATTCTTAACATTGTATTTTACCTATTGAAATAAAACTAAACTATGAGTACAATATTGGGTTTTTCTTACCTTAACCTCGTCTTTCAAAACGATCAAGAGACTTGCACAAACTTCATGTACTATTTTGGAAATGAGTTGATGAGATATTTTAAAAAGATAATGAAGGCTTCGAAAATTATCTCCTGTCGCCAGATAACGTAGTGTTATTGTCAATCGCACTTTAGCTGGAATGGCTTTTCTGAATTTCGTATCTTTTTTTGTAATTATTGGTGCGAGCTTTTGTAGTAGTATTTCAAAGTCAGATGTTGACATACGTAAAAATCCAGGGAACTCCATGCCGGACTCTGCGGTTAAGTCAGATAACATACTTTCCATGCCTGTGCTGAAAAATAAAGTGAAATTATTATATGCACTCACGCCTATCTCCCTGCGGTAAGTAGAGATCACTTTCTAGCATACTTACATCGTTCGGTTTCTATGAATACTAGTCATCCACCATCTCCTCTTTCTTCTCTTTTTCATATTATTTCGTAAATGATACTCGTACAATTGTAATAAATAATAATTTACTGACATATAATGCAAAGCCACTATTTCCTCCATTTTTAATTTACCGCCCACGTCTCCGCACAACAAACTGAACAGCACAAGGCACGATGCATCGCGTCAACTCGACACGAATCTTCGCCCGCCTTAATGTAGACAAGAACATCGCCCATACCCGAACACGATGTTTTTGTCGCGCCAACACCATACGAATCTTCGCTCGCTAATGTAGCCCCAGCATTAGCGTGTGCGGGCTAGGTTTCTATGCGTTATTATTCTAAGGCCGTACATATCTATTTTAGTTAATTCTAGACACTTTCTGAAAAATTGTCCGATTCCCTATTGCGCAGGGCAATTGTTGTGATGACAACGTGAATACGAAATAGTAACGTTTACATTTAAATAAATAAGAAATTGACATGAAGTTGCAATTTATTATTAAAGTTTAACACGGTTTTAATCCATTTCTGCCCAAAATCGTGGGAAAGAACGGCGAAATTAAGTACATATATTGATGTCAAAATCTTTTTTAGCCGAAAAAGAAGCAACTCCACCTTGTTCTCTCAGTAAAAGGGATGCACATTAAAATATTGAATCGTAAAATGTGCACGATAACGAGGTTTTGTATAAATTTACTTCTATGCAATTTTCAAGCGAATCTATTCAATAGAAATATGTAAGCAGGCAATAACTTTTTGTAATATTACATTTGAACTAAACGCGATTTACAAATATTTAGTTGTAAATAGTTTTTGCTCTCGGGTGTTAATGGGTTTTAACCCAGATTAAAACCCGACGTTAATACACATTGTGATATTTTACTACCAAGACATTCATTTCTTTTTTGTGAAACTACTCTGCCAGTTTGTTTTTTTTTATAATATCAAGTGCCGGGACAAACAGTAGTACGCCTGATGATAAGGCTACGTACATGCCTGTCCATAACAGTTGCAGTGCCACTTAGAGCTGTAAATCGCAAAGATCTAAGGGGCACTTCCACTGCGCTCGTCACCCTGAGACATAAGTTGACAAGTCCCATGTGCCTATAATTTCAGCAGCACCCTTAACCTTCAAAACCGGAACGCAGTAATGCTAACATTACTGGTTGGCGGCAGATACAATTTAGGTAAGGTCAGTACACGGTCTGATCACGCGTACATTTTGCTTTGTATAAAAAAAAGAGATGCCAGCGCCATGTATTGATGGCTAATCAATAGATGGCGCTGGCATCTCTTTTCTTTTTCAAACAATTTTTAGACAATTTTTCAGAACCTGAAATGTTTGTATACAAAATGTCGTTTCTCCTTGCGACCGCTAGTGGCGCTGTATAATTTGCCATGCAAAATTGTGAAATAATATACGCGGTCGCTAGCGACAACAGTCACAGTAAACTCGTGGTAGAGGCACTTGCCATACAGAGCGGTGGCCTTAGTATAGCACAGGCGCTGGTTCGAGGTAAGATCGAAGGAATTTTTCTTTGTGTTCGATCTTCGTAAACAAACATTGTTTTATTGGACTATCCCTGTACAAAGTAGTGTAGACGTCACAATTTCCGTTACAGAATATGAATAAATAAAACAGTAAATAATACCGGGGACCATTTTTTTATTGCTTTGTTTACAAATTTGTACTATTAATAAGTACTAGAGTATTTACATAGAAAATCTCTTCAGTAGATAAAAAATGCAATAAACTCAAATAACAAAATTGAAATGCTTTTTATAGCTACCATACCCCAATAACGCAAGAGGACTGCAACATACAAGACAGCGTAGTCGGGTATTTAGTACCCATTGGTATACCAGATGTCGCAACGAGTACCAAATAGCTATTTTTGTAACTAATTTGTTTTACATTGACAAGCTACAATTTATCGAAGCTACTCTAATTTCTAGTGATAAACACAAAATCTACTAGATGGCGCTTGTTGCAAAGACTTGTTTAGGAGTCCATCTACCCATATTAGGTAGCGTAATTTACATATGGTTTGTAACAGACACACAAATAGTTTGAGGTGGTGACCTATTCGGCGGGACACGCAGAGTAGCATACAATGATAGGTTGTTTTTTTTGTTAAGCCTAATTTTTTACTCTGTATGTCTCTTTTTTTTTCTTCGTGTCATTTGCCTTCCGTCGAATAAATGATTTTTCTATTCTATTCTATTCTAACACACAGTGTCATATTTATCAAAGGTCGGAAAATAATTTAGCTCAAATACAGTGTGTTGAAATGCATTCTCGCCATATTAAAGAAATTAATAATTGAAATAATGCTAAATCATCTAAAAATATTTAAAAAAATATTCCGTTCAATATTCTGGCTAATGGTATCTAGTAAAGTTTTGCAAAATTGCCTCAAGTCGTATGCACCACGCAAGGGCAGTGACCCTGCTACCCGCTTCACCGAGTGATTACTAGTATTGTTTATTTAACAGTTTGTTTAACGTTAAATAAACAATACTAATGGTAGTATACGTTTTTACAATAAGATTCCGGAGAACATATTAAGGTTATCATTTCCTAAGTTTAAAACTTACATTAAAAGTATTTCAATTGAAGTCATATTGCAAAATTGAAGAGTATGTTTTAGATAAAGAAGTATGGAAAGACAACAAGAGCCTAAATTCCACACAATTATGATTCAAAGTGTTATTCCGTGGCATTTAAGTTTATTTGAAAAGAGCAATCCCTAGAGTTTCTTGCTCGTTCTTCTCAGGGAGGTCAGCGTAGTGAATGAACAGTAGCTTAAAAAGTAGCTTAAAAAAATGAACGTTTTGAAGTGCACAAATTTTACCTATGGAATGGAACATATTTGACTTTGAATTTGTTATAATTTACTATTTATTTACATTAATTAGAAAAGTTGACTGAAAAAAGTTTTTTGTAACTTAGGTTTGGTACTTGTAAACTTTAGGTAACATGAAAGTATTGTTAGAACTACCTAGCTCCAACGGGTGGTGACAGGCTCCGTACCGGAGATACCACCAGCTTCGTATAATTTTCAATCGTTTATATTTTTAAAGTAATGTAGATACGCTTCCTGTATAAGTTTAATTCGTGAAGATAGCAAACAGGTAGCAATTATTGGTAATAGGTACATACTTCTGGAAAATCTGCTCCCTTCATGCTGAGCAAAATGGCGACCAGCCATCCTGATATCAGAATGGCTGGTGAATTATTTTTTTATTTTCTCAAAATATATCAAAGGCAGCAATTATTTAAAAAAGGAGCAAATAGTAGCAAACAGATAGCAATTCTTGAATATACACTCAGTGCCACACCAGGCGACCAGCCATCCTGACAGTCACTGTAAAAATGGCGAGAACGCAAATCAACACATTGTATTTGAATAATATTACAAGGAAAAAGGACTTCTTATATTTAATATTAAAGAGGAATTAATTTATATCCACGGCCATTTACATAATATAAACTACATCGATGCTATTGATCAGCGCCATCTGGTTGTAAGACGGGATTTTGCACTTTTTCAGAGTTACGATCTGTAGGAGATTAGAAGTCATCTCGAGTTATTAGTCCATGATAGTTACACAGATTCAGCCATATATTTTATATACTAGCGACTTCTACAATTTTACAGTATTAGACTAATCTACTTTTACAATCACCAAACGATCATTGTCGGTCTGTTCAAAAACCTCATACTCCAAACTTTTGTGCTTTTTTTTTGCTAATTCTGCAACAACGTGAGCTATGTTAGCTAGATTCGTTGGCGGTGTGACCTGCGCTTTATGTGCTTTAATAACGCCGACAAAGACAATGACTTAAATTAGTACATATACAAACAAGGAACCCACAATGAACATTCAACACTACATACAACACTCAAAGTAAAGATGTATAATAAGAAGTATGGTAACTCCATACAAACGTAGCTGTGCGGCTTGTATGTGTACGCGCGAACAAAGATTATTTCAATGTAGAATGGCATTTTATTTCTATTTCATAATCATATTCCATAATCAAGATGGCAATCCACGATGCAATATGAATACATATAAAGGTTATTTCAATATAGCATGAGATTACTGTGATGAACACAACCTGTAGGTACAACTGAAGTTTTAATGTAACCGAGCTCCGAGCGAAGTGTAGGCAGTGTTGGGTAATTTTCCGAAAAATTTCAAATAGTAGACATTTTTCCGGAAAAAATCCCGAAGAATTGTAAAAATATAATTTCGAACGGTCAGATTACATTCTACGTTCAGAAATATATTATGAAGTTTTATTTAGCGTGAATTATAAAATAAATTTTTATAGCTAAAAGCCACTTATAGAAAAGCGAGATTTAAATGATTTCACAAAAGTGAAAAAAAAAACCTTTCAATGGCTCCATCGTTTTCGTTCAGAAACTTCAACTTTAAACAGGTGTCAACGTCAAATGTGGAAAATTAAAGGAAAAATATCATAAAAAATATTTAATTTTCTCAAAAAAATATATTTTTTTCAAAATGGAATTTTTTCATGACGCAACACTAACTGCAGGCATTTACGCGCCGAACAGGCGGGAGTTACTTGCTCTTATTATACTACGAATATGGTAAGGAAAAGATCGCAAACGCCTACCAAAACAGTCTTAGCAAATCTATCTATCGGCGACTTCTTCACAAACATTTTCAACAGGTGGACAATTTTCAAACATTTGTTTCAACAATTGACAATACTCTTTTTCTTCTCTATAACGATCTCCTTCTAACTCTAGAAGTTTGAGGTGATCATCTATGATCTTCTGTAGTCCAATACTAGGGTCTCTACACTGGCGAACTACCTCAGGAGGCATCCCTTCCGTGAGGGATACAAGAGTGCTAAGAAGATGTTCAGTCGAAGCATCCCGGCATGTTTTAATTTGTTCTGCTATTATAGCGACAATGTTCAAATTGATGAATTGTTCTGGAACAATATTAGATATGTCAAGGAACTTAACGGAACAAAAAAAAAACACAAGCATTTATAGGTCAATGATTATAAGTAATAAATAATATCATTGTAGTATGAGAAATAGTAGAACCAAATCATTTATTTCCTATTATCAACGTACCACCCAAAATGCCGCACTGCTGGTTACGATTCTCTTCTATATAGTACATAAACCAAAACAGTGTAATGTGGCGGTATTATCGGCGTGGCATATATTTTTGAGGAGTTTAAAAAAACACTAAACCATTATTTAAATCAAACTTCATACACTTTTTCAACATTATTTGTTCTTGTGTACTAGAGCAGGTATGTTAGGCACCGTTGCTAACAATAATCTACTTAAGAAAAGTTTAAATCTCAATGCTCTTACATCTAGTTTGAACAGAATGTACGTAAACAGGAATGTAATTTATTTACCTTCATTGAAACAAAATAAATTTTCGCCACCCCCATTTTACATCAATCTAGTTCATCGGTAGAGGCAGCGCATCGGTGCACATCTCTAGTGTAGAACCATACCAACCCATAGTCAGGACAATTTGTCCCGATGAGATTTGGGAATATCAAATTTTTTTGAGGAATTTTATGTTCATGAAGCTATCTATCTATCTATACTAATAAAAGGGAAAATGTATCACTATGACCAAATCACCTTTAGCTTCGGGACAGTTGTGGCACAGGTATCTAATGAAGAAGGCTACTTTCGTCCTGGCGGAGGTTTCTGGAGTGCGCAGCAGCTGCGCGAGCGCCTCGCAGCCGCCCTGCGCCACCAGCTCGCGGCATGCAGGTTCGTACTCACGAGTGGCGCCTGCACAAGACAACCAATTCAAACTACGCCGTTGGTTCCAAACTTTGAAATAACATTTGCACATGTTTTCTCAGTAAAAAAAAGTTCTTATCATGGCTTGAGTTCTACGTAAAAATATTTTTACAAGTTTTAGTGCCCGCTATCTCAGTCCGCCATTTAAGTAGCAGTACAGCTCTTGTGAAAGAGTTCGTCCAGAGAAGCACTGCCACATTCTCTATTTCTGCCGCCAAGCAGTAATGTAGTGTAAAGGGTGCTGGTGAAATTGCAGGCACATGGGACTTGTCAACTTATGTCTCAGGGTGACGGGCGCAGTGGCGGTGCCCCTCAGATCTTTTCGATTTAAGGCGATTAACACACTGCACCGCGCCCCGCGACGGAGCGCGAGACGCAGAATCACGCGCGCGGTGGCGGAGACGCAGATCTGCGTCAACGCGCGGTTTAATCTGCGCGGGGGCAGCGGTCTAGCGGCCCCGCGTCGCTTAAAGTACTCGCTTCGCAGTTGATAGTGATAGTGATTGTATATTTAGCTGAGATCCTTCTTTGACAAGAATGGTTAATAATAGAGAACTCATTCAGGACGCTGCAGTTATATTATCTATTGTCTGTATAAAAAGACACCGAAGATATTGGATACATCCCGTTTTACGAACCAGATCTATAAATGGATAATTTCAACATCATTACGAAGTTTAAGAAAATATGAAGATAAATTTGGTCGATTTTCAGTAGCAAATATAAATTTATCAACGTCGAGATCTATTGTAGAAAACTGAACATGTCCTTAAGCTTAAAAATCTGCGCGGTAGTGCGGAGCGCAGTGTGCCATAGCATGCGGTACGCCGCGACCCTCCGCGCGGGGGCGCGGTACAACCGCGCGGAGAAGCGTTGTCAGTGTGATCGACGGCTCGAGTTCGAGTTTTTGTCGCGGGGCGCGGTGCAGTGTGATAATCGCCTTAAGCTCTGAGTGGCACTGCAACTGTTATGAACAGGCGAGTAGCTTACCATCATTGCCATTTATTCAGAAAGGCATATCTACTGTTGGGCAATTTTCTGACAAATTTCAAATAATAAAATTTTTTCCAGAAAAATTAAAAAAATAAAATTCGAATGTTCATATTATGTTCTAAGTTTTGACACATCTTTTAAAGTTTAATTTATAGTGAATTAATTATAAAATGAAATAGTATAGCTAAAAGGAAGTTAAGAGTAAAACGAGATTTAAAATGATTGGACAACACTGGAACAAAAGAATCACGTAAAAAATAACCTTTATAAAGGTTAATAAATAATCTATATCATTTTCGTTCAGTATGTTTAACTTTTGACATGTGTCAACTGTCAAATGTGAAAAAAAATTGGGAAAACATTTAAATTTTATTTTAGCTTCTTAAAAATATAAATTTTCAAAATAGAAATTTTCCGTGACCCAGCACTGCAGTTTAGATAAGCGCCCGATTATCCCATCACTAGTGATTAGTGATTACATACAAGCAGAGATGGGCAGTGGGTATAAAACCCAAGCACTCGGGCTTAACCGGGTTTTTACCTAAAGCGCGGGGTTTTAATTCATTTCTGCCCAAAATCGTAGGCGGAAATGGCGAATAAGGAATTTGATAATACAATTCCTTCCTTATTACAAATTTCATGTAAAAAATATATTTTAAGACGAAATTTTTGGAACCCTGTGGTGCATCACACATCACACATGCATCCTTAGTAGTGAGACTACTATTAAGGATGCATATCACCAAACGCTTTTTACGAAAATCGATTCAAGTGCGTACAACCTAACGATTTTTTAACTTACAAGACAAAGCATACAAGCACTTAGTGAGTGCATTTCCCCGTTCGCTCTGTACTAGATTCAACAATACATTAAGCAGTCCACACTCATGGGCTCTTGCTTGGCAGAAGGGGTTGTTCTGACACAGCTCAGCTAGTACAGAGCTAGCACGAGCTCTGATATCATCATTCTCACTGCCATATGCTATAGGAAACATTGCAAAGCCACCCATTTTGTAGAAATCTGAAATAGAGAAATAACACAGTATGAATAATTTATATGCAAAAAAAAGCCTTTTTTCATTTCATTTCCGTTTCATTTATCGTTGGACAACTGTCGTGTTTAGCTGTTCCCACTAGATCGTGACGACAATTTATCGGTTCACGGCAGCCGACTCGTCAGTTGCACGACAGTAACGTTTGAAGTTGCCGTTTGAAGATTATCCGTCGTCACATTTTTATCGAGATGTTTTATTTATCGTCGGACGACCGTCGTTGTAGCTCTTCCCGACAGTCTGTCGTGAGTATGGGAAGAGCTAGAACGTTGTTGCCCAGGTTACGCAAGACGTACAGGAAAGGAATGGTTGGGCATATAACACGATACAACAGTTTTCAAAGACGCATTATAAAAGAGATGTAGGGGAGAGAGAGGTAAGATCTAGGCCAAGAACTAGTTGTTAGGTTCTCGTGATTGTTACACGTAGGACATGAAACTATTTTTTTTTATCTAAACTGCGGTTGTTTCTTTAAAAAAAACCAACATTCCGTTCCTTTATAGGTCCCATGGTCACAATTGACCGAAACATGGTTTGTTCGAAAAAACAAATATGCACGATTTACATCCGAAAGAATAGTTTCAATTCTTAAAAAGAGTAAATATAAGAAAAGTAAGCTAAGACCGGCACTGAACAGAGACGGTTGGCAATTACTCCACCATGATAGTCCCGTCATTAATCCCCTCATACATAAGAAAAAAAAAGATATAACTGCAGTTTAAAAACTTTAAATATAATAACTCTTTATTGCACAAAGAAAAGATACATGAAACACAAGTTATAAAGGACATATACAAAGGTGAGCTTATCTCTAGAAGAGATCTCTTCCAGCCAACCCTAGCCTAGGTGAAAAATGAAGTCTGCGGGACTAATTATTGTACAATAAAATTTAAATTTAAATGTGAGTAAAAAAAAAAAATTAATAATATATATATATATATATATATATATATATAAATAATATATATACATATAAAGGATGATGATATGATATGATATGAGATAATATATGTACATATGACAGACATACACACGTACATGAACTTTATATACATAAATACAAACATAAGCAGAATATATATTATAATATAAACAAATTAGTACTTATAATATATGTCACCTATTAACTATCTAACGCGTTCGACAGGTAGTGCTCTTTTAATTTATGTTTGAAAGATGCCACCGATGGACTGTCACGAATGCCAGCAGGCAGTTTATTCCACATACGAGTTGCACTTACCGTGAAAGAGTTGTGGAAGAATTTCGAGTTGGATTGAGGATTTATTAGTGATCTAGTGTCACAGGTACGTTTTGGGCGGGAACTGGGGGATAAGGGAGAAAAACGGGAACATAGATAATGAGGAAGCTGGGGGTAATGTAGAATTTTGTAAAGGAGACAAAGAACGTGCATATCTCGGCGAAGTCGGATTGGTAGCCATTTCAACTTAGTCCGAAATTCAGAGACACGGTCATATTTCCGTAAACCGAATATGAAACGGATTGCCAGATTTTGTAGGCGCTCCAGTTTGTTAAGCAGCTCCTCAGTAGCATCCAAATAACAAACATCGGCATAGTCGAGAAGAGGAAGTAGTAAAGACTGAGCAAGCATAACCTTGGTATTGAATGGCAAGAAGAATTGAAGCCGCTTGAGAGAGTGGTAGGAAAAATGCATGCGTCGACTAACCTCATTTACCTGCGGTCTCCAAGACAGTGTATGATCAATTATCAGACCCAGGTTCTTTGTATTATCAGCATATGGAAGACTCACTCCATTATACGAAACCTTGGCGATATTATCAATGTCCAACCTACAGTAAAGTCTGTTGCTACCTACGATTATTGCCTGTGATTTCGTTGGGTTTATAAGCAATCCAAACGCATCAGCCCAAGACTTCACCACAAGAAGATCTTTATTAATATCGTCAATGGCAGATAGGGTGTTAGCTACATCAAAGTGTCGATAAATTTGCACGTCATCAGCGTATAAGTGGAACGGAGGTGTAATTCGTTTTGTGAGTTCATTTATGAACAGCGAGAAGAGAAGAGGTGAAAGTACACCACCCTGAGGCACCCCTGAAGTCAAAGGAGACCAATCAGAATAAGTGTCATCATGCTTGATCCTTTGAAGGCGATTGCGGAGGTAGTCTGAAAACCAAGCGATTGCAGCAGAGGAGAAGTTAAGAGAGCAGAGAATGGCAAGAAGGATGTCATAGTCGACAGAGTTGAAAGCACTGCTGAAGTCTAGTAACACAATAATGGTAAACAATCGGTTATCCATGGCGTGGCGAATATCATCCGTGACGTTAAGTAAGGCAGTTACTGTGCTATGACCAGGACGAAAACCGGATTGATATGGACTTATAAGATCATAACGAGACACAAATGAGAAAAGTTGTTTATGAACAGTGCCTTCAAGGACCTTGGACAGGAATGGTAGGATGGAGATAGGACGAAATTGGGAGAAAGCCGTGGGAGTAGCGGATTTAGGGATGGGAATGACGTGGGCTAATTTCCAGTCGCTAGGAAAGACGCCAGTTGCAAGTGAACAATTCATAATGTGTGTGATAATTGATGTAACGTCATCCAGGATAGGTATCAGCATGTCACGGCAAATACCATCTTCACCCACGGCCTTGGAAGTAATGGATAGGATACTCTTCTTAACTTCCCCCTCAGTGACTTCGCGAAAAGAAAAAGGCTCACAAGCAGGACGTGCAACAGTGCCCAGAGAGGTGAGCGTGGAAGTCTTGATAGAGTCAGCAACTGTAAATGGTGAGTTGGTAAAGTATTTGTTGAGTGAATTGAGATCGGGTAAGTCAACAGTACAGTCACGATCTTTACCTACACCAATTGATCTCAAGAACTTATATATACATGGCTTTGTGTTTGTCACATCACAACATATAACGGCCGGAACGAAGGAATTTTTACTGAGTGTTCGATCTTTGTATTAATGATTATAACAAACTAGTGGAGTAATTTCACATAAAAAGTTATTGAATATCAATTCAACAAAAATTTAAGTACAGTGAATAGCGACATCTCTAGCCAGGACTGGTAGCTGCAAAGGTATTTAACTGGGCAATAAAATATATTGTATTATTTTTTATAACTAACCAAAGAACCAACATTCCACACAGTTATTCAAAGATAACATTAAAAAAATCCCTACATGGGATATGCCACCTTGTAAACTCACTTTTAAATGTTGTTACCACATATTTATGGCACAATGAAGTGTTCACATACTCAAAGTATTCATATTTTGTAGTGTCAGAGACAAAACAATGTTGAAGGTATCAATGAAAAAATAAATTTGATCAACTCTTTCTTACCATTGGCAGTATCAATTTGATCAATAAACTCCAACAAGTTGTTAAAAGCAGTATCAACATCGTCAGGTAGCGGCTGTCCCAGTTGGATGCTGTGTATCTTCTCTGTGTTAGTCAGAGTTGTAATGGCCTTCTGCAGCACTTCTGCTACATTCACTGTTAAACTTTTAAGAGCTTCTTCTAAGAATTTGCGTCGCTGCAATTGAAGTTAATAATATTACTATTGACAAATGGCATAAGACAAAATATATATACTATACTGCTCTTGAACGAAAAAGGGTGCAGGTAACATTTTTTATCAAAATTGAAATTACATGCAAATTCGGGACCGGGGGCCCAAAAATCTATTTGACAGTGTTGTATCCATTGAACACTGTCAAATAGATGAATTGCGTTTTTTGTTTCATTTGAAAATTCATAACATGAATTGTCAATTAAATCATATTATGATTCTTACAATGCTGCTTTTTAGACCCCCAGGAAATAAAGGCCAATCTAACCATTTCTTGTGGAAGTATATCTCAATAACTACCGTTGAATTTACAGCAAGCTCAAAGGTGATAACTGACTTTAATAATCAAGATTTTTTTTACTATGAGAACTGAAATTTGAAATATTATGTTAAAGACACTAATATCAAAGGATGTATTATGTAGTTCAATTACAATACAATACGAAAAAGCACAACTGAACACAATTGCGCCCTTTAGTTCTATTCATGAATCAAGTATTGACTCACATTAGATTTTTGTTATGCCCTTTGTATGCAGCTATATACTTTTTTCTACTATGTTCAAAGAGAAAATTAAGGTATTTTTAAAAATGGATGATTAAAATACAATCAAAGTTTCTGTATAAAAATGTGGTAAGTATTTATAACAACTAAACTACTTAATATCAAATGCATATTTTTAAGGCTTAAAATACTATTCTTTTTATGAGGAAACCCTAAAAAATATTTAAACACATTTATGTATGAATTTAGAATTTACTGCTTGGGCCTTTCTTTTTTCAGGAGGCAATATACCTAAACATTTACAAAAACTCTTTTCAGATACCTCTTCATCCATAGGACCAAACTCTGAGTTGCCTGGTGCATCTTCTGCCTTTGTAGCCTCCATGGCAAACCGTAAAAGACCCTGTAATGAAAGGCAACAAGGATACCATTATGGCTATAGTTTGTAATATGGTAACCTATCACAAATTTCAAAATGTTTTTGTTCGAAATAACCCTTGTTCAAATTTTCATTACACCGAAAACCGATTTATAAGGAAACAGTTGTTTTTTCGGGATATGTTGAATGTTTATCGCAAAGACACAATTAGGTTCGGTTAGGTTAAGTAAAAGAAAAAACATTTTTCTATCAAGATTACTTTCGAGGTTATGAAATTACGACCAAACATTATTTCTGGAAAATGTCATTTCAGACTACTGATAGGTAACCTTATAATATTAAAGCAAATTGCCCCGTAACAAAACCAAGTAGGTGTTTTAGACAAAATTCTACAGGAGAGCCCAAAAACACAAATCAAGGTTTAGCCCTTAAACAATTTTCCTTTTAATGTAAAAAATAAAATAGTATTAGGTAGAGCACCAATCCATGAATAGATTGATATTACAAAAATGATCACAACTAACATATTACATTGGTGTTGGTATTGCACAGTAGCGCCATCCAGCCAAATTTATGAGATGACTAAAATGATAAGAGCCAAACAAGGTGAACTTATCATGACCAATTTGAGGCCGTTCTATAGAAGGGCAAGGTCCAGAGTATCCTCAATAACCGACGAGCGTGTATGAAAGCAGATGTGTGTTATGTGGCGAAGGATGTGTGTCAGGATCGTAATAAAAGAATGGCTGTTGACTCTGCCTACCCCTATGAGAAAAGGGTGTGAAGTAAACGTAAACAATCTAATTCACTTCTTTATTTACGCACTTGAAGACGTCTTGAAGCGAATCTTCGCTATACGGACGCTAGTAACATCCACCTAACACAACCTCGCTAATAGATTACAACTTGATTACCTGTAAGTTCCTAGGTTGCCTAGGTTGTACCGGTGCTGTTTGTGCATTGTCTTCACTTCTTGTTGGGAACGTAAGAGCTCCAACTATTTTGTTCTGTTCAGGATTATTGGATCCCATAATCACAAATTTACCTTCAAACACGAAACCTATCCACACGAATGACACACTGTTGTGAAACAGACGTCCAATGTAATTCAACGTACACTCGTTTTATTCAACAAAATGAATCACACACAAGAGCTTTTCAATCGTTTGGAAAATATTAGAAGAATCGAGATTTCGAGAATCGGCGAGAAAAACGCATCATAGACAACGGCAGTGCTACCAAACCAAAGAAAATAATTTGGTAAAATTGTTATCAAAATATAAGGAATAATAGAATTTTTTTTATGAAAAATTTTAAATATTTTAAGTTTCTTATAATCTTATAATTAGTATTAGAGTGTAAAAATAATGTAACTGTTTTTCTAATTATGGAAGAGCGGAGTCCTCTGACACAAGTATATTTTACTTAATAAAGGGCTCCAACCTCAACATAGTACTACTACTCGTATATATGTATTTTGAAAATGAATAAACTTTTTATTATTATTATTTGCTATAATCTTCTCAGCTTGTTGACCGAAGTCAAGTAAATGCAGTATGGCGTGTATTATTAAACATGTTGTGTAAAGGTATTTCTGCTGAAACTTTTCTAAACTAACCTCATAATATTTTTATAGGAAATATATTATAACCTTAATCCAGATTAACCTTACTAAGCAATGGTTTTTTAAATGACGCTACTTGCCTAAAAATTTGACCCTTATACGTCGGCGCTTAGGTTCCGTTTGCGTCCCGGTTTTTTGTGAAGTCCGAGATCTTTGTGGTACATTTTTTTTCAATTGCCCTAATATCTGTGTCTCGTTGTATAACTAGACCTATTATTGCATTGTATAATGCCTTTGTAAGAAGCCTCCTCATGTGTAATGCGGCAATCTAGGCTCCACGTCAAACGCGGTATAATCTTGTGCTGGATATATCTGTACTTGAGGCAATACGGGGCTTACACCTTCTTCTCCTGACATATCCTATTTATATATCAATAAAACAATTATTCAGATCCAAAACATGTATACTTCTTTTTCCAAATAAACCAACGTTTCAGACCCTTGAAAAAAGATCTGAAATAAACAGTTTAATTTCAAATTAGTCACATATTTTCCCCGTGCTGTTATTACTTGAAATCATCTATAATTTTACTTATATTTGTAATTCAATAAATAAATATGAAAATGACAATATTTGAAATTTCGAATATTTTTAGAATAATATGTACGCATTGACTTACAAATAAATGGACGAAGGGTCTAATACAAAAACCACGAAAAAAATGTCCCAAGTCAACCTATTCGAAATTTAAATTGTAATGTCATCGCAGTATCGCGCTGTCAGTAGAACAAATGAAGACTAAAGCGGAGTGTCGCGCTCTGTATACGATTTTAGCGCCTTAAAAGTGCGGACACTTCTTATCGCGGACCCGACGTCCATATAATTGTAAGTCAATGTATGTACGTTATTTTTTAAATAAAATTAGATAATATTATAATTATATTATATATTCTGTTTATTTACCGCGTTCGTGAATTTCGTTTTTCTCAGAGGTTGACTGGTAGAGAATGCTTTTAGCATTAAGTCCGCCTTTTGTACCCTTTGTATTGTGGTCAATAAAGTTTAATAAATAAATAAATAAATAATGAGAAATCAGTTAATTTCCCGTAAAATCGGGAGATTCATTTACTCTGGATAACATTCTCATCATAGACAATTTGACTTGACAAGAAATGTCATTTATTATTTTATTTATTTATAAAGCATTGGCTTCAGAGACATCAGCTTAATGGTAACAAATAATCAAGAAACGCTCAACGTTATTTAGATAAAGTAAAAATTAATTAGTGTAAAAAAACCCACCATTTTTTTCATAACTGTCATTTCTACGGTTGCTTTTTTTATACTAACATGTGACGTCAGAAAGAGACAAAACCAATTTGATACAGAATGGCAGTATTTGTTTCTTGCATTTAATAGAGCGCAAAAATATTACCACGAAAGCAGAAATTAATAGTGTTCGAATCGCGAAAAAAATAGCGGCTTTTTGTAGTTACAGTTTTTTCACAAATTAATTATTTTTAATTATTATTATTTAGTATTATTACGTTTTAAGTTTTTAATCCTTTGTTGCTTGTTTAAGCTGATGGATCTATAGCCAATGCTCAACAAATAAATAAATCGTGTTATAATTATAGTAAAATAAAAAAAACCACAAACAAAAGGTCACGAGTATTATACACCAAATGAAAGAGCACACCATCTGTTTTGTTTTCACGTACAAACCATCAATACTTACAAGGATTTGGCTACACCAAAAAAATCTTTTCAAATTGGTAGTGTATGCGTATGAATTCATACGCATGCTGAGCCTACGGTAGTAGAGCATTGTGCGTATGAAAACATACGCATGCTGAGTTTAAGGGTTAAAGCTCTTTTAAAATACATTTTCGTACAAAATTGAAATTACGTGTGCATAGTTAGTCCCATTATTTGACTATAATTATTATTCTTCATTTAATTTTAGGTAACAGAGGTTAGAATACATTTATATAATGTCTCATGGAGACAGTTCAAATAACAAAAAACTTACACACTGAACTCTTCAACATTGCTCAAATTCACTGGCGCATCAATGCAACTTTTTAACCGACTTTAGAAAAGAAGATACTCTGTTGACTGTTTTGTGTGTGTATGTTTCGTGAATACGTCATTAGTGAACCGATTTTGATGATTTTTTGTTGGAAAGAAGGTACCTCAGTATTGGTCTCATTTAAATTTGAAGAAAATGTCTCTACATCTAAGAGTGGCAAACTGGGGGATGAATCCGGTTTCGCGCACTTTCCGGTAACAGATTCAATAAAACTTGGCAAATATTTTTATTTATTAATAATTTTGGCTTGGATACAAGTACTTTGAGCCATGTCTTCGTTTAATTATGTTTCTGTAAATATGGCCGCCACAAACAAGATAGGCAATTTGAGGCGGCGTGTTTGGATTAACTCGGGATTACTTAGAACGGGCCGATTGGGTATTTTAGTTCGAGATTCGTATAATTTCGCGTTTTAATCTTCGATTAAGGCACAATAGCACTGTCCTATTCCACTTTAAACTAGATTTCACAAAATAATTGAAAGTCAAAATAAAAACGACACTTTTCCCTCCAAAAGGCCCAGAGCGAATCAACTTGGCAAATAGATGTAATACCACGAACTTTTAAAGTCGATTTAAAAAAAAATATAGATAAGTACCTATTCATGTCATAATGCGCTAAAGTATGTAAATATGAGTACGTATAGGGCTGCTTATATAATATTAATATGTAGGCGTATGTACCATTTCGTGTGTATTTACGTATCATTAAATATAATCTAGTTTATCGGCAGATAGCTTATCTATCTCTTTAGATAAACCGCGCAGCAAAAAACATGTTTTCAAAATAATATCTTACGCAGATCATGATGGAAACAGTACATTGGTCTTAAAAATAATTGCATTTTTTCAAGTGATCACTGATTAATAAACGGGGTTCTAAACTTCTGTGAACCCGCCTACTGTTACAGTTAAACATAGGGGTAAGTAAAGATGGTTCCACAAACTAATCAACAATTTATTTGAAATATATATGTATTGTCGTGTTCAGATGAGTAGGTATCTATGCAATATCTTTGTGCGTATTTAGTTTCTTGTATTAGTTTATTATGCAAATATTCCCCTTACTTACAACTTAAACTATAAACATAAGAGCTATATCTTAAAGTGAAATTTTGATTATACACAATTCGAAAATTGCTTAAGATCCGACCATAGTGGCCAATTGGCTTCTTTTAATTGTAAAATGAGCAAGAAGGTAGACCGATTTCTCTGCAGACCGATTACCACAGAACGAATAATTAGATTTCAAAATAATATCGGCAATAGTTTAAATTCCCTATCCCATATACCGGAGGATCCAAATACTTTATATAACACGATATTTGGTTTAATTAAAAATGAATTTGACAATATATTTAAATCGAAAACATTAACTTTCCATAGAGAGACTAAATTCAACGACTGGGCAACAGTAGGTATTCATAAGAGTAGGTCTCGTTTGTATGAGCTATATGCTATGAAAACTTATAATAATAATTCCAATTTCATAGAATATGTTAGAATTTATTCGAAAATATTTAAAAAAGTTTGTGTAGCTGCTAAGGTTAAGTTTCACAGCGACAAAATTAGACAATCGATAAATAAATCTAAAACTACTTGGAGCATAATAAATAAAGAGTCAGGCAGGGTTAAACCACAGGATAGAGATATAGTTTTAGAATTAGACAGCAAACTTATAAAATGTAAAGATAAAGTAGCCCAAGCTTTTGAATCGTTCTTTTCGGAAATTGCTGTGAACACTACAAAATCATTAAATTCCTCCCCTTCACTTGCTATTGATCTCTTAAAGGAAAATGTTAACGTTTGTGGCAGTTTATTTAATTTTCGTCATGTTACTCCACAAGACATCATAAAAGCTTTTAAGTCAATACATGTTAAAAAAACTGAAGGTCTCTGGGGCATATCAACTAAAGTTATAGACTCAGTTATTAATCTCATTTCCCCACATTTAGCTGTAGCTTTCAATAGGTGCGTTGACGAAGGTGTTTTTCCCGATTTAATGAAATACAGCAAGGTTATTCCCTTATTCAAAAGCGGTGAGAAAGTTGATCCTAGCAACTATAGGCCCATTTCAATTTTACCAGCTTTAAGTAAAATATTCGAAAAGGTTATGCTAACTCAATTACTGTCCTATTTCGGTAGGAATCATATTTTTCATAGTGAACAATACGGGTTTACTAGTGGTAGATCGACTAGCGATGCGGGGGTAGCGTTACTAAAACACATCTTTGATGCTTGGGAAAGGTCCTAGAACGCTATTGGTGTTTTCTGTGACCTCTCAAAGGCATTTGATTGAGTTGATCATAATACTCTTATTAGGAAGCTGGAACATTACGGTGTAAATGGCAAGGCGTCGAAACTTGTCTCGTCATATCTCAACGGTAGAATTCAGAAAGTAGACATAAATGGAGTGACTTCTTTGGGTTCTCCAGTAAAAATGGGTGTTCCGTAGGGCTCAATACTTGGACCTTTCTTATTTCTGATTTATATTAATGATCTGCCATTCTTTGTTAAGGACCATTGCGAAATAGTGTTGTTTGCT